CATAGCTCATGCAGCGCAACAAGTCGGCGTGCTGTTTTTGTTGTTCATTTTTCAGAAAAACAACAAATTCTCTATCGCTCTTCTCTATTCTTTTATTCCTACAAATCTGAAGCTAGTGGGACTGCCTACGGGAGCAACAGGCCTGCCGGTGGAAGAAAGTTGTTATGCTATACGGTCTAGCATAGACCACGACCAAAATTTCTGTAGGTTCATACCTAGGTTTAGTGCGTGGGGGCGATAGTCGGCCAGGGTATGAGCTGAGCAATAACAATAACAATCTTCATGTTTTATTGTCAGTAATATTAAAGATACATACATTCATTTTCCACGCTTACATCTGCAAAATTTGTATAAACTAAATAAAGGAACATTTTGCCTAACAATTTTTTAATCAAAGATTGTTTTGTTGGTCTTGTAAATGTTGAGAAGACTAGAAACATAAACTTTTCTAGTTCCATGCGACGAAGCCTAGGGTCTAGATGAGCTAATAAAGACTTCTGATAGAACCAGACATTCCGACTCCTTGTGCACGTGAAGATGCGATGAATGATAGTGTCAATTTCTCCTGGACATAAGGCACATAATGGGTCGATTGTTGGATTTTGGCGATGAAGAAGCTCGTTGTGGGGAATCCTCTCATGTATCATGAGATACCACGCTGACCGTTGCTCATCTGTAAGCAGGCTGGAGTGAATGTTTTTAAAGACCACTTTCCAATTTATCTGCGAGTCGATGAAGGTCGATGGATCCGGAGATCGAAGTGTGCTGTGCTCGTGAACGGACGCGATTTTTGTGTCCTCCCATCATTTTTTTTTTCAATTTTGTTCAATGTGAAATTTTTCTACATTTTGACTTGAATGATTTTCAACTACGGAAGACATTAGGATTTTTCCCAGGCTACGATTGTTTTTTTTTTTTTTTTTTTTTTATTTTAGTCACTTTAACGCTCTTGGGTCATTCGTGACTTGTCCGGGGGTGAGATTTGAACTCGTGACTTTAGCGTGAGAGGTATGGATGCTAACCACTACGCCGGGGTCGCCCCCTAGGCTACCATTGTAGAAAATCGTAATTGATAGATATTGGACGGAACGCGTCGGAATGTTTAGAAAAATAGGGCGCACGCTTGATCCAGTTTGGGATACATTGTTGACTGCTTTCTGGAACGTGATTTCATTTTAATAACTTGTTTAACCAGGGCTTAAACAATCGTCACGTCGGTCATAGCTTGTTATGATAGCCTGAACAATGCGTAAAGAGCAAACCGAAACATTGAACGTCGCATGAAAGTGGAACTTAATGAAAGTCAAGTGCTTTTTCGTAACTTTTAGTTTTCGGATTAGAAAGATCATCGGTTGCAGGACAGTGTTGCTGATTTATATTGGATAATCCAAAGCTATGTTGATCATTATAACATTAATTTTTGAATTACAAATTATAAGACAATCTTATTCAAATGTCGGAATAATACCTCTGACCAAGGCAAAATGATTTATATGGTTTTTATAAAACTCGACCAATACTAATAAGGGAAGGAATTCCACATTTCCTTTTCCCGAGTCCTTTTCCTATCCTTCCCTTCCCTTCTTCTCTTTTCAGAAAGCGAGTAATGGCGCTATAACCATATGCCATATAGGGCTAGGACAAGAATTAGTGCTGAGGGCCCAACCGCTAGAAGAAAATGGAGCATCACTTAACCTTTTTAGACAAGATGCTCCCAACGACAAATGATTTATAAATAACAATACAACGGAACGTGCGGTACGAGATGTCCACGTTTCATCCATTTATTGGATTCTGAAGCATCGTGTTTAAATCTTGGATTTAAACAGGCCCGATGTTTCTAAATCGTCTTGCCCCTCAAATGCTGCACAGTAGGCCTGGCCGTTTTGATATATTTTGCGCCAAATAGCAAAAAAAATGATGGAGGTATCATTTTCCAGGATGCTTTTATGAACTGGCTGTGTTTGTGTTAGATTAGATTAGATTAGATTAGAGTCGATGAAGGTCGGTGGATCCGGAAACAGCGAAAGGTAATGTTGGTACAAACCACTCGCCGTCAGGTTCTCCAAAAGATTGGAGGAGAGATATGATATTTCCTGCAATACCAACCTAGCGTGCTGAAATTCTGCAGGGGCGTTCGGTAGATTCCCAAGTAACAATTTCGGTTTTATAAGGGTTCTGTAGACCATCATTTAGACTTGTAGCATGCTTTAAAACCTCCATAAAACTTGCAATGTTACTTGGGTTATTATAGATCCTTCCAGAAAATCGGCGAACAGTGTAAGTCATTCAATGAACCAATCAGCCGGCGCCGGTGGTGTAGTGGTAAGCGTGACTGCTTTCTAACACCCCAATGGGTCTGGGTTCAATCCCAGCCGAGGTCGGTGGGATTTTTCTGAGGCATAAAAATCTCTGGTCACGTCTTCCTTCGGAAGGGAAGTAAAGCCGTTGGTCCCGGCCCATGTGTGTTGTGAATGGGTGCGATATCCTACGCAGGTGTGGAAGCTGCCTTCCTGCACATTCGATTGTCGTCAATGGATGGCAATCGATGTCCGTCGGTGATTGGCACTAGATTGCGGAACAGAGACCGACGTTAAATAAAGGAAAGAAAGAAGACTTTACCAATCGATTCAGTAGAAGAGCTTTTGATTTCAACGCTGGAGAGTATAGGTTTAAACCACCACGGTTTTGGGAAGCGTAAGATTTTGAAAGGAGATCTTGAACTGTTGAGGGTGTCCCATCCACAGGAACTTTCTCAGCTCAGTTATAATGGGAGCTTCGTAGTTTTTTTGGCAAGTACACGATAGATGCCACGTATCACATTTTTGAGCACACTTACATAGTGTCACTGGGACTTTGTTCCCAAATCTGCTGTTTCATACCCGATAAGATCGAATTCCAGTTGAGATCTCTGGCAGTGCGGGTATTCTCGCAATAAAGGATACCTAGGATCTTGACGTGGTTCTCAATTGAGAGCCACTCGGTAGCTTCAGTTAAGTTGATGTTGCGTGCGTAAGCATTAATTATCACACCAGGAAAAGCTCACCTTAATTCGTTAAAGAGAGGTTGCATATACAGCACAAAAAGTAACATTGACAAGGGATCTCCGTTCGCTGGATGTGGATTTCGGGTTTTTGATTCACATTCACTAATATCCTCGAAAAAGAATTTTCCATGAACTTTTAGAAGAGTTCTACTACTGCCGGATTAAAATTCATTCTTAACATTGTTTGCTGAAGAAATGAATGATCAACGCGATCAAATGCGTGGTCCAGATCAATTCGTTCTGATGTCGGTGCTTCAATTCACATATCCTATCCCAGATTGTTGTGGTCGCTTCGAAGAGCCATTTGAACAGTTCTGGCCAGCGGACAGCTCCATTGGAAGGAGTTTTTCCATGCGCTGGTTTAGGATACGCGAGGCGGTTTTGAAGTCAAAATTGACCAAATAAATGAGGCGTAAGCCGTCAATGCCCGGGGATTTCTTTGAGAAGCTCGATTTAATTGCAGTGAAGACCTCCTTCTCCTCAGCATATCTCATGATCGACATGTTTTCCTCGATATCATTTGGGATACTTCTAGTCGGCAAGAACCTCGCAGTATTAGAGGTTTCATCAGCTGCATACAGTTGATTGAAGAAACGGGAGACTTCAGCATGAATTTCATTTATATCTATGGTAACGTTGCCATCACGAAGTTCGAGCAAGTTGATGCTTGTCCGTGCTTTGCGTGTTGACCGCTCGTTCAGATGAAACAGACTTGTCTGCTCACCACCTATCTATATATGATGAATTGTTCCTTCGGAGCTTTGTTGAAGAATTTGTCCCTTGATGCGATTGATGTTAGAACGTTCGTGCAGATTTGTCTACGTATCGGTGAGTTTCATTGAAGTCATCACTCGTTTCAACGTTGGACTCTGGTTACCGGAGCCGATTGCATCCCTTTCGTTCACCACGCAATTGAAGTCACCCCCAAATATTATATAATTAGGTAGATGCCCGTTTCAAGTAAAATGGCACTATGGAATTAAAAAAGCTTTCGCGGTTACTTCTGTTTTGTGAATCAGATGGAGCATAAACATTCACAAAGGTGACCTCCCCTATCTGGAGAGAGATCAAACGGGAATCTAGATTACGAAATTACGATGCACATTTTCCACCTCCTGCAAGAATATTACGTCAAGGTCAACAGATCGTATAAATGTTCGCAAAGCAGCATGTTTCGTGGGGTTTGTAATATTGTTTATGTTGATGGGACATATGTTGTAGCTTTTTAGATCCATTTTAATGACGATGTTTAGACCTGGAAGGCCTCTTGCTTTCGGCAGTCTTGTGTGATCCCGGTCGTCCAAATGATGGTTACGGGGTGCGTTGATAATCACTAGACTAATTCACATTAAGTCGTTCAACGTTTCTACTAATAATTCTCCTGGAAGTTTACTAATATACCCACCAAAATACTTCGAGGCGCACGGAGCAGAATGCTATGTAGAGATTTCATGCAACTGCGCAGAAAACGAACGAAATTCGATTCGCAAACGACGCCCATCTTACCGATCGGAACATTCTCAAAATCTCAAAGAAGTAGGCAAACATCGTAATTGTAGTTCGAAGATAATAAAAAGATACAAATCGCAAGAAAACATGCAAGAGAAAAGCAAAATTAAGCACGAATTCTATGCTACTCCTACTGGCAAATAATAGTTTAGAGCATGAAATAATAATCGAAAAATCCCAAACGACAACAGCGCAAAAAGTTCAACAAGTACCGCTTCTGGTCTTCATTCGGTGACATCGACAGTTCGGTGGCGTGGCAGTGTTGGTCTCAAATGGCTGCAGCACTAGAAGCTAGCGCGAGTCGACTCACGGCCCGGCTTCTACGACCGAGGTAGAAACTGTGCCAGTTGGGGAATTTGCACTGCGACGAGATTTGTTTTCACGTTTTCTTTAATTCAATTATTTAGACTATTTATACGAGTTAGTAGGGAGGCAGGATACTTACTATGATGAGCTTGTTGTTGCTTCTGTTGCTGCGAGGCAGCCGTTGATTTGGGGGTTTGATAGTTGGAAGCGGATCCTGCTGCATCCTGCTGCTTTGGCTTGGGACCGTACGAGTGTGTGGGTTTGGGACTATTATTATTGCCGCGATTGTTGTGACTGCTGCCGTGTTTGGCTGCAGCCTTGCTGCTGGAACTGATCTGAATGGCCTGCAACGAAAAAAAATACGGGAAGGTCTGTGTTGGGAGATTGAGGAAATATTACCAGGGGCAACCTACCTGCAGTTCGTGCAATTCCTTCATTATCCGCAACACGTCCAGCTCACTGGGAGCAGACGACATCCGGGATGCAACAGCGTGGGAATTCGACTTCATGTCCTGCATCAGACTAGCCACAGAGGTAGGCAGAGCGAAATTTCCCGTGGCGTTGGTCTTCATGGCCGATGTCGACGTCGTCGTCGCCGTCGAGGTGGCAGGAGAAGGCGAATGGCGATATTTGGTGGCTTTTTCGAAAACATTGTTGTTGTTGTTGTTGTTGTTATTGTTATTGTTGATGTTCATTGGAGATCCTCTGATACCGCCGGAAGTGCTTGCTCCACTTTCGCTGCTAGGTCGGTTACTACTTTTGACGGGAGGGGCCGCCTTTTTGTACTTGTCTTTGTTGATTGAAGGGAGAGCTAAGTTCAGAGCTAGGTCAGGCTTCTTTTCGCCCATGTTGTACTCTCCAACGATTTCAATACTGCTATCGCTGTCATCGTCCAGGCTCTTGCTTCCCTTTCGGTTGTTTAGATTCGAGTTGCCGGACGTTGAATTGCTGTGTGCCATCGGTGGTTGCTCCTGGTAGGATGATTGTCTTCGGGAGGAGGACGCCGAGGAAGCTGACGACAGGGCGGGGGAGTTGATTCGGTAATCCATCGGATGAGGAGAGGATTTCGAAGCACTGTGAGCCGCTTCCAGGTTGATGACGGAAGTTTGGATTAGATCTTCGTCAAAATTGGCAGACTGGCGAGGCGGTTGCGATTGAGGTCGGGGCGGTTGGGGTGACGGCTGAGATTGGTAATGACTGGAATGTTGCGAGGAACTAGTTTTGCTCGGTGGCGAACTGATGATGTTGATTATGCTGTGATCGGAAGTTTTCTTAGTGGCAGCTGGAGAAGTGCTGGCGGGAGGTTGCGAAGGACTAGCCGCCGCCATCACCACCGGCGAAGATTGTGGAGGACGAATCGTTTTCTTATCCTCCGGTTTGGACCCGGCAGGCTTAACCGAAGGTGATGAAGACACTGAATCCGGTTTGCTTCCTGGACCATTGGCAAGTGCCTGTGATGGAAGTTCTGCTGTGGTAGCGCTGGACAGATGGACAGTCTTTTTGGTCTCTTTGTTGGCAGCTTTGATGTCGTTCTTTTTTCGCCTATCCAGTTCCTTCTGGAGATCTTCAAACTTTATCCATCCACAAGGCCACAGGGGTACGACATGCTTCCGCAGATAGCTTTGGATGAACTCTTCCTCCGTTTCCTTCCTGGGCCGGAGAATGACGAACGACTGTTTCCGGATGCTGGCAATAGCGAACAATAAACCACGCAAATGGTCGTTCCATGGAAATTTCTTCTTTGGATGTTTGATTTCCGGTTTCTCTCCATTTTCACCGGTGGGCAGTGAGTTGCGAAGTTCGATTGCTTTCTGCTTCTCCGCTTCGTAGTTCGTGATGATTTTCGGCATCAGTTCCGTTACCGCACTCTCAAGCTTGTCGAGAGCTATCTTTACCTTGTTGTCCTCTTTTCTAATGCGAATTTTCTTTATTTTGATCATTAGAGTTTGCCGACTCACGTGCAGGTGTTCCTCCAAGTGTTTGTAGATGGAATTCCGGGCACTTCCGCCGCACATTCTAGAACTCACATCGATCTGCAGCAGCAGATCAGCAACCGTTGTGTCGAAGAAATTGAACTTACCACTCGACTTATTCGCAATCTCCTTCAAATCGTTCAAATCCTGCAGCAAATGATCCGGCAGATTATCCGGCAACCGAACATCAATTTGTTTCTTGATATCCTCTTCACCGTTAACCTTGGGCGGTTCCTGTTCGCTACCTGTTGCGCTATCGCTCTCCGACTCTTCCGATCCACTTCCACTCGAGTCACTATCGCTCGCGTCGCTTCCTTCTTCCTCATCGTCTTCTTCTTCATCATCGCCATCCTCTTCCGCCTCCGAGCTGGAAACCGGTGCACTACTCCTTCCCTTCTTCTCCTGTTCCATCTTCCGCATACTATCCCGCTTTGCCCTCAGCATGTCCTTCACTGTAATCGTCTTGACCACCTTGATCTCTTTCTCTCCTTGCTTATCTTCCTTGGCTTCCTTTTTCTTTTTCTTCTTTTCCTGTAACTTTCGCTCCATCTTCTCGTTAGTCATCTTCTGCTTTTTCCCAACATGTCCATTCAACCGCTCCGCCTTGCCGCTCTTCCCGGTGCCACTTTCCGCCCCACTCGTCGCACTACCCAATTCTTCCTTCTTCTTTTCTTCCTCCTTCTCCCCTTCTTCGCTGCCACTTTCACTCGAAGACGACAACAGTCGCTTCTTCGGCTTCGGCATCCGAACGGCATCTTCCGGTCGTTCAAAGTTCGAAAGCGTCTTAAACTCCAGCTGCCCGGAGTTGATGTAGAACCCTCCGCCGACCGTTTCCACCTCCTCCGGAATCAGCTCATCGTACGCTTCCGTGTTGTCGATGAAGGAATCCTCTTCGTCGTAGCCTGCTCCTCGGTCGTAGATGTCCAGCTGCGAGGGGCGGGCAGACTTGCCGGAACTGCTGTATGCCGGACCGGAGCCGTACTTCTTCTCCAGTTCCCGCGCGATCCGGGCAACGTCGTCGTCGTTGTCCGCGTCCGACAGGAACCCATTCGGAGTGGTGGAGGCCTTCTTTTCCACTTTGCGTTGCCGTTTCTGGAGGAAAAAATGATACAAATGAGGAAAAATTAGGATTAAGGCGTGTTTGAAGTTATTCAATAACGGGGATTGTAAATCAATAATGTAACGCTAAGGCTTTCAAAGTTCTGCTAGAAGTCCTCTAAATCTTCTACATCTTAAATCAAGATTCTGAATTGCCCTAGAACGCACCAACGCACTTGTACCATAGAGGTAACTCTAAGACTAGTAGGTCCCGAAGAAACGAGCTCTACTTTTTGGCTTAGCTCTGGTACTATCTTCGGTCCCAAGCTAATCGATTCACCCCTCGAAACATAGGAAATTCCACTAACCCCTCATTTTATCTGTCAAACTTTCATAGCGAATCAAAACAAACATTGTGTAGTACTAGAATTTTGACTAAAATGGGGTACGTTAATCGAATTGCTTGGGACCAATAGACTAGTCAAGTAGTGAGCCAATTTAAAATCGTTAGTTTCGTATTGATTGTTGCTTGTACCAACTACGAAACTATCGATTTGAAATTGGCTCACTACTTGACTAGCCTATTGGTCCCAAGCAAATCGATTAACGTACCCCATTCTAGTTGAAATTCTAGTACTGCACTATGTTTGTTTTGATACTCTATGAAAGTTTGACAGACAAAATGAGGGGTTCGTGGATTTTCCCATGTTTCGAGGGGTGCATCTATTAGCTTGGGACCGAAGAGAGTACCAGAGCTGAGCTAAAAAGTTGAGCACATTTCCTCGGGACCTACTAGTCTTAGAGTTATCTCTATGCTTGTACGTCTTTTAGACTTGAAGATCCTCTGAACTTACATAGGAAGACTGAAAGTCTTCCACACATTGGATTTTGTCTCTGGATATGACCTTGAAGTTATTGGAAGAACGTACTCACTGGAGTTCCCCTGCACCTGTCCAAGAAGTCCTCTCGGCTGGAATGCTCAGAGACTTTCCCTGGAGACAATCTGAACTTACTCTGAAGGTCATTCAAACACTACACGGCGAATGAGAACAACCAAATTTGAGTTTAGTTTACTCATAAACCGCCAAAAGGAACTCAGCATTGAATAAATTAGGCTCATGGTTTTCCAGGTTTGTCCAGGAAAAAAAATTCCCGAATATAAGAAACGTAAAGATTGGATTCACTTAGTCTATTGGTACGTTTCCTAGACTGAGTAAAGTTCGCGTCAATTTTCCTAATTTTCCGGCAGATTTTTGATGAACATGTAAATTTGCCTTACTCATCGCTGAGTTCTTGCACTTCCTGTGATTATGATTAATATAAACTCAAATTTGGGTCGTTCTCATTTTTTTAATTCGTTTATTTTTCCAGGCTCATTTGCTGTAGCTTTGCGGAGCCGATATTTATTGTTTAGATCACAAAATTACTTAAAACTAACGTTAGTGAAGCGGGGGCTGATTACTCGTGGTTATCTCGAGGTTAGGGGTAACAAACTGTAACAAATGGATGGCAGGGTAGGGATTGAAAACACAAGGTTTGGAGAGCAATGTGCTCTTGATATAGAACTAAGCGACAAACTGATGAAAAAGACAAACATGGGGGTACACCGACGGGCAGCTAATGACTTGGGAGAACACAAGATGACACTAACTACTAAATCCTCAGATCTATCCGTTTTAAAAACATATAAATTAAATTCAAACAGTCTCGGCTCGCCAAGACATCTCTAACGGGTATCGCGGGTTGTTTTCCTCGGGCCCTGAGGGATGTGGATAACTCAGATCTGGCAACACGGTTTAGGGTACATGACCAAACAACATGCTCGATAGGGTCGTTCTCATTCGCCGTGTAGATTGACGCATGGTGGCCAGCAAATCCCAATTTGCAATAACATCAACTTCATATTCTCTCTGAAAGTCCCTTAAAACTTTCTTAACAATATTTCAGAACACTCCGAAAAAATCGAGTAATTTATCCTAATATTCTCTCCACTCGAATTAGCTGTTTGAACCATAATTCTATTTAAAATAAGCCTGAATTCTTCACCGAATTTCCATGCAATTCACCTCATAATTGTCTTGGAGCTCTCCTCTAAATTCTTCTGAAAAATCGCTTGGAATGCTATTTAGAATTCTCTAGAAATACTGTTTGAGATGCCTCCTTTGGAATTGTTCCCTCAAAATTCGATCCCCTTGGTATTTATCACGAGATTTCCTTGGAACTCTCTTCAGAATTCACTTGAAATTATCTTTAAATTTTCAACGAATTCAATACCCCCAGAATTTTTCATCATAACTCTTTTAACATTCTTCTCAGAACATATTTTGAATATTCATTAGAAACGAATCTGGAATCCTCTTCACAATTTCTGCTCAAATCTTTGGTTATCTCTGTTGCGACAGATTTTCTCGTTGTGATTGGCTCTTCGCGATGCTTCGATTGTTCCGTTTCCGTTGCCATGTGCGCGTTGATGAACGACTTCTCCTTGGGTTTGCTTCGCTCATCCCTTCCAGCTTTCGGCGGAATGCTGACAAGCTGGGTTACGCCACTAGCTGCCGATGACACTTTCGCCATGTAACCGCTGAACACATTCAAGTCAACTACCGCAACGTGCTCCTGATAGAGCGCCCAACTGAATTTCACCGTTGCTGGTAGTTTGTCGACCAGTTCTTGTAGTAGGATGGGGTTTGAAAAATGCCTTTCCAATCCGACTGCTTTCAATAGATTTTGCACCACTAGTCCGAAACTTACCAGTGTCTCCAATCGATCCGCCCGATGAGCTGCAGTTGCCCTCACCTTAGCGATCATGTTGTTGACGATCTGTTCCGGACGGCCATACAGTTGCTGAAGTGTCGACAAAATTTGAGGCACCGTTGACGGGTGGAGCAAAAAGCTGCTGACTGCATCTTTGGCTGCAGCCGCAGTAGGTTTTCTGCGTTGGAGTAGCCGCAAATCTCCGTCGAATGCTGGTAGCTGCTTATAAATAGCGGCCAATCTACAGGATCACCAGAGAAGATTGGCAACTCCTTTGTGACCACTTGTCTGGCTGCCAATTGTTGAGACGATGGACCAAATGCGAGATTCGGTACAAAACGTTGATTCGGAATCCACTGTGGATGAACTTGCGGAAACCCAGGGTCCCCAAAATTCTCCTGTCGACTACTTGGAAAACCTTCGTTAACAAAGAGCGAAGGAGGTGGTGGACAAGGAGGAGTATGATGCAGACTGTTCCCTGAATTATCTACCCTAGGTATTCCAGAACTTATGTTTGGGTAAGCTAATGGTGGACTATTGTTGCCACTTACCGACGATTGACCTTCGTTACGTGATTGAGCGACATCTTCGACAGTAGTCCTTCTCCGCTTTACTTCGCAGACGAATCGCTTCTTGCTCCCGTTGACAAGTGACTACAAGTTGGGACTGCAACTGTTGTTCCGTAGCCCGCAGACGCTAGATCTCACTCTCTAGCTCTGCATTCTGCCTCTGAATTGCTGCCTGTTCCCGATTCCGATGCTCGAGTTTAATCCACAAATCCGCTTCCGATTGACGAATCCGTTGCAGTTCTTCGACGTGTTGGTTTGGCGCCGTTCGCTGACGACCGCGACTTTCGAGCTGAGTACGCAGACCTTCTTCTGCATCTGCTTCGTTTCCTCGTCGAACTGCGCTTGCAAAACTTTTATCCGGTTAACCAGCTCCAACTCTCGCTTACGTCTTGCTTCCATCTCCAACTCGTACTTCGTCTTCAGCTCTTGGATATACTCCACACTTCGTAGCAACTCGACTGCATGCTGGTTTCGAAGTTTCCCGGTTTCGGAGCTCCATTTTTCGTATGATGGTATGCCAATACGTTTCGTTTTCGGAACTGCACCGGTCTTCGAAGTAGCCGCTATACTGTAATTTTCTTCGAGAAGATCGATGAAGGGCTTCAGATCGACGATATTGGTTCGATCTTTTCTATCAAGCTTTGCCACGGCCAATCCAAGAGCACCTTCGATAGTATCCTCCAAATCCTCGCCAATCGTGACGCTTCCTTCAGTTCTTGGGATTGATTCCACCTCTAATCCCTCGCCAAACGTTTTAGGATTCCGAAACCTTATTCGGTGTCGATGAGCAGTGCACTCCCTGCGCAACGCCGGATGCCTTTTAACGTTGATTGTCATCTACAGATGTTGGAACTCTCGGCTGCCTTAGTCTGTTTCACCCAATCTTCCGTCCTTCGCGCACTCCCCTGGCTACTTCGCAAACTGCGTACACTTTTTGCATCTTCTTCGCCTTGCTGGTATAGCAATTCGTGCTTCCGAGCAATAAACTGCTTGCCAGGCTCGAGCTTTTCTCGAAGTTCCTTCTCGTTCAACGCTCTCTCCATGATGATCTTCTCCTGCCTCAGCTCATCCATTAGCCTGCGCTCTTCTTCCAGACGATTTAACTCACGACCTGCTCTAGCCCTGTGAGCGCTAGACGTGCTCGAAATTCCACTGGCAATACTCAGTCCTGGGCCAGGAAGACGAGGAACGCAGGTCGTGCAAGAAAAACTAGTTGTACGTACCGTAGCAGTGTTGACATTGGCACACGAAAAATGGTACTACCTGTTACAGTTCTGGCACTGAACCATAAACCGCTCAGCGTCATTTGACCGCTCACATCCACCACATTCGCGATCCTCACCTCCACCGTTGTCCACAATCGACGCTTTGAACGAATTGTCCGATGACTGATTCGACACCTGATCGTCTCCTTTGGTCTGGAGGTTGGCATTTACCTTCTCAATAACCCTCGTTCGCAATCGTATTTGCGAACATTCGACGGGAAATCCATGTTACTACGGTTGAATTCTTTAAGAATCTGTTGCGACAGATTTTCTCGGAGTTCTTTCAGCAATAAACCACTCAGCAATAAGTGTGTATCAGCTTAAAGCTAGAAATTAGTTTTATTTTAGGATAGGTTTTCTAATAAATTGTAGGCTTTCTACTTACAATTCAGTCTCCGTTTATGGTTTTTTAACTAGTTACAACAGAGTACTTTTAATTATAATATCTAGCCTCATAAATTCAAAT